GTGAACAATTAAATAAACTCGCGCCTGAAAATCCTATATGGTAACGTGTGTGTCTACTTCATTTACAAATAAAATTGAACCTTTCCTATCAGTAGATGTGTTTGTACGAACCGATGTCCTTTAATCCTTTACTACACAGGGTTGATTATTCGTGTGCATTCTATTGCAACCAAGATAAACCTTAAATAACATGACAACCGTTTTGTATTTTAATAAAGCCCTAGCGACTTATTGTTTATTCCTTTACACTTTTTTTTAAGGGGTCAGAAGAGGATTAGTGACCGACAATCATCCGAAGCATATTAATAATATAATTACATACCAAGAACCACCCCAAATTTAGTTGAGATATGTACGATGAACCAGAGGTAGGACGGAGAATTAATTCAAAGAGAAACATAATTAAAAAATTGTTAATCAAAGTGTTCTCCATTAGTTGTTCGACAATAACCCAGTCTCCAAGTAAATTGATACTGGACCCCACCACTTACCTCTGTAGTGGTATTCTTTACATACAGGACTGCAATTAAGCCATATGAGATCGGGACAGTGAGCAGGTCTCTCGATTTACCTATCTACCTATTGGGGGGGGGGGCGTCTTGTTGGTACCTGTTGGTACTAAAGTGTTTGATCAGAAATATTTGACCCATTTGCATTTGGGTATGTTGGTATTAACTATTATTGTAAAAATCGTCAGCGGATATTCCAGAAATCCCCTTAGGCCTGTGACGCAATTTTTCCGGGAAATATGACGTGTTTCGTTCTAGAACAATCTAGAAGACTCGCGAACACTTGAGTTTACCATATAATCAAATCGCTTCAGTCCAGTTCCAATTTCAACACCGAAGTAAATAGTCTGCGCTGTTATAAATTGCGTATATGTGAATGATACATGTTTTTTTTTACTGCTACAAATCAATTCATTTCCAGACTGAATGATGTTTGATGCAATAATTTGCTTTGGCATAACTAACAAAGGAATAACCTGCGTAGCTCAGATGAGCTAACGTTAGAAGCTCTAACTTTGGCTACAAGGGTCCTGGGTTCTAATCCCAGGTAAGGCATGGATGTTTGTGATTGTATAGTGGGTTGCGTGGGAAGAGTAGCAAATTGTTAACACTCCGCCCAATAAATTAAATAAAAAATGACGTTTCTGGCATAATTATAAACCAATCATTTTCCTTAACTTGAGTTAAATTTTTTATGTAATATACTTAATTTTTTACTTTTATATGTCAAAAAGAACAGTGCATGTAAGTGAACACGTGATAAAAATTAGTGGTTGCTAAACATATGTGCCCCATTGACTCTACAGACGTGCGCCACTGACCACAATTTTAAAGTATATAAATTGGTAGTAAACCTTTTGTAATTTTGAATACCACAAATATCTTCTTTAAAAAGATGTTGCTTTGAAGATATATTGAGCGTTAAGAATCAAAAAGCAAAAAGCCTTGACCGAAAAGCCTCGATTAACGTCAGCTTCACATATTTAAAACCTTCCTTCCCTTTCCATGTACTTCCCTCCCCACTCTGCTTAATAAAATAATGCGCCGTCTTAGAATAATCTGCTCCTGTGTTAAACGGCGACAACACGTCCTTATTTTGAAACTAATGGAACGTTGCAACGATAACAAAACTTCTTATCTACGACCGGAGATAAACTTTTACAAATACTACGTGCATAACTTCTAATTGCATACAACTAGTCCTTTAATACGTAATTGTCAAAACAATTATTGAAACAAAATCAAACATAACTAATTCTGATACAAAACGTCAAAATTGTCCTCGAATTCAACTAATATGTTCGAGATTTGCGTTCGATCTTCAATAAACAACCACATTTAACGTTAACAATAATTTAAATGCACATACATGGTGACGTCTTTTGTTGGCAGCGTCACACGATTTCTAATACGCTATATGCCATTTTTAGATTAGGCACGGTCCGCTAGAGAAGAGGACGAGTGGACGTGGGCGAGGTTTTTAAATGATTTAGTATTTGCAATGGTTTTAAGGGTCGTTTTTCCAGGTTAGGTCTGACATTAAATTTGTTTGGGATCGCGCATTGCGTACGGTTTTTCTAGCTAGCCCAACATCCAGAGAAGGATGGTAGATCTTGATTCGCTAGCAAAAAGGGTGCCCCGAGTTTGGGCGTTAACAAACGAGTTTCGTTGGTTCCATTTCGGATTTCCTAGCGGGGGATTTAGCGGAAGGACAAAGAGAGAGAGAGAGAGAATTGACATAAAAATGAAGGAAGGAAACTGTGAAGAGCAGTTCGATTTTACAAATTTAGAGGACGTTGTTAGGATGATGTAGACGAACGTGTTCATCCATTAAATGTATAGGATCTGCACAACCTGTGGGATCCATGGAATCTATGGGAATTGGGATCTATTGAATCTATGAAAACTGTGAACCTATGAAACCACAAAAATCTGGGAGATTTATGTAAATGTTTGCAGGAACTTATAGAATATAAGGACATAGATCTTGCAACACCTATGGAACCTATGTACTATATATAGATCTTATGTATTATAGAAATCAATAGAATGTATAGAATTTGGGAATTATGGAATTTATCGAATGTTAGGAGTTTATGGAATCTATGGAATTTATGGAATTCATGGAACTTATAGTATTTGGGAAATCTATGAAATCCAAGATGAAATCTATTAATTTTATGGAGCTTACATTATTCAGGGAATGTATATGTAATCTAGGGAATCCACAGAATGTATGGTGATTATTAAATATGCAATCCATGAAGTCTCGAGAATTAATGGAGTCTATGAAATGTATGGAAAGTATGGATTGTATGGAGTGAATGAAATGCATGGAATGTATAGACTATATAAAATGTATGGAATCTAAAGTATGTAATTTTAAGATTTTTTTATACCTACTATTTAGTATTGACCACCTGCGTGTGAGGTATTATGTTCAAATAAGCTATATAAGCTTTCTATTCCTTCAGAAATTTTGCTCTAATTCCTTCGTGTGTTTCGGAATAAATTTTTTGTTATATTCAATCAATTAATTGTGTGTTTATTCGAATCCATTGTTCGACCAGGATAGATTCTTCATGTCGGATTTTTCTATTGACTTACATGCAGATTACAGATCCCATCTGCTAAACGTGAACTTAATTCAGATGTGGCCGCTGCAAAAAACTTCCATTTAATACGATTAGTAGTGCATATTATATCCAGGATAAATAATTGCGAATATGTGATGATCCGTTCTTCTAAGAGCGAAATACGCCTTAAATTATATGGAATTCCGATAAGTTAATCATATGGAACGTGGAATCTAGATGGGAATCTATTGAAATCTATGAAACCTATAGTTCCTGTAAAACCTATAAAAACAAAGAAATCCTATCGGATTTTACGGAATCTATACCTATGTAACCTACAGAATAAGAGAAACCATGGGACTATATTATCAAACCACTTAAATTTAAAAGCCCAAGTACAATAAAATTGGAACCAATGTCACCAATGGAATCTGTGTAGTCATGGAGTTTGTCTAATCTATGGTTTAGTTAGTTTAGTTTAGTGAATGAAACCTATGACACATACGGATTGAAATAGATATGGGATCTGTGGAACGTATTTAATCTATCGCGTACCTATATGAAATAACGTATAGAGGGTCATAGTGGAATCTATTGAGCTCCGACAAAACAAACGATTTAACAAAAACCGAAATACCAGCCGATTTTTATATCGAAGAGGGTCAATTTTTATGCAAAAGATAAATTCTTGTCTGTAACCTTGTGCTAGGAGTTGCACCCTCCAACAAGTTTCTAAACGGGGTGAGGGGTAAACATTGTAAAAGGACAAAAATAATTTGTTTAATGGAAAGATTCCTTATCGCCGGCGACTAATCCTTTTATCGACTTGATGGCGCTTTGATGTCGCTCTGTAAAATTCGCTAAAATATCATGCTTACTTACTAAGTAAGTATGTCTCCACTTCCAGTAAGTCAAAATACATTATCACAGCCAAACATAATAGCGAAGAGCCACCGAATGTCTCTACCCTTTTTTGGATATATTCCTCATGGCCCTGTCAATGTGTACCTAATGATGCTGAAGATATTCAAATCAAAACAAGACATGGATAATTAAGGATGCAACTGAAATAGGTAAAAATTACAATTGCAGAAGACTAAAAAGGAATTTACAATATTAACCTAAGATGATGTAGGTATCATAGGTATAAGTAGGTATATAAGAAAAAAAAACGATGAAATGAAAGCAGTTGAGAAAAGGCCATAAAAAATGAAATTATTTCATTAATTTAATTGTGATATAATAAACATAGGTGTGAAAATTGATATTACGTACCTAGGTATAGGTACATACATAGGTACCTAATACTATTAATTGTTATAGTAGGTAGGTAATTGTTTCCTTGACAAAATGTTCAGTTAGGTGAATCGCTATGTGAAAAATCAAGCGAGCTTTAGAATCCAAAATACTTAGGTAAGAGATCTTTAATTATAAATGTTTTCCCGGGGAAAGCAACATCTGGAATCTTCTAGCGAAGAAAAACAAGAGAAGGGCGAACTGAAAACAATTAATTTTAATTAAATGTCAAACAATCAACAAACATCATCCCCAAAATCACAGTCCGAACGCAATTAACGTCCATCTAAAATTGTGTAGAGCGGACCGTTCCGAAAAATTGGTACCCGACTATAGTAAAATGCACAAAAAAAAGAAAGACATGTGTGTTTACTGTAACATTTTATATTAAAATAAGGCGGGGAGACAAATTTACTCGGTAATAGATCAACCGCCCTTCTCCTATCGCTCTTTTTTTGTGGGGACGCGTGGTTGAAATTACTTTTCGCCCCGCCCGTTTCATCTCGTTACGCCAATCGCGCTAAAGCGACGTCCGCCATCTTGAATTCGAGATTAGTTCGTCGAGCGCAGCGCGCTTAACGGTGAAAAGTAAAATTACGTCAAAAACGCTTCACGTGTAATATACGTGTACGCATCACGAGTGTCCTCTTACAAAATTACGAAAATCGATGAGACTTTTGCGCAAAAATTCGCGATTCTCGGTGCATTAAATGTCTAGTCCTTTACCAAATCGTCGTCTTTAATTGTCGTTCGCTGTAGGTATGTGATTGATGTGTGAGGGGGTAAACTTGAGTGAGTGAAGTCGCACGTGCCTTTGATTTTGTGCAATTAGCGGATTTAGTGAATTTAGAACAATTGCAAACGGCGCTGAAACGGAGGTGAGTACATCAATAATTATATCTATAGGTAGTAGGTAGTGTTGTTCATAGCGGGGCGGCTCACGCAGCGCGAAGGGCCCGTTATTGTTGTGTAGGGCTCGGCTAATTTGGACAAATTAAACCTTTTAACGTGATGTATTTATAGCGGGATTATTGTTTGTTAAGTGTTTACGAATTGGTGACAAAAGGGCTTTCGGTTGTAACACCGAAACCAATTATTAGCAAACAAAAACGCTGAGGTGTAAGAGCAGCGTGATGATGACAGGCAAAAATTGTTATAGTCCTTTGAGGACCGTTAACTATTCTAAGCGTCTACTTATCTCCTAAATCTCCTTATTTGCCTACACCTTAGGATACAATGGTTACACAAAGACCAGAAATAAAGGATTTTTACCGTTGCTTTTATCATGCCCTCTTCAAACGTTCCACTTGACAGGTGAACTGCCCATTTCATAAACAAGTAAATATTTTTGGTCAAATGTAAATTAAATCTTACAAATTAAACAACAATAAAACTCGGCAAGAGTGCGAAACAAAGAGTAAGAGAAATAAAATTGGTTCGGTAAATGAAACTTAAACGCAAGATTTCGAGTGGTCTCTCAATTACCCCAATTTATATTGGGTTACAAGCTTTACTGCAGTATTGCCACATTCCCAATTTATCATTCATTAGATTCCGACCCCTTCTTGGCAGTATACACCGTCGGAAACGAACCCTATCGCTTATAGGCGATTCAAAAGGCTTATGTGACAAATGTTCAAATAATCAAACAGTATCCTAAGCACAATAATACAGAAGCAGCTGTAACATGTCCAAAAAGAGTATAGGCCATTTTTTACGAAAAATTGCGTAGAAACAATTGCCTTAAATGAAAAATGAAAGTGTGTACGATTCTGGTATCTAATGCACCCTCGCAATCTACAGGATGAATTTTTGCCGACGATAGTGGAAACGATATATACCTATCTACTAAGGACACGATGAAGCACCGTTTTAAGAGTCAATTGAATACCTACTGATGCACCCGTTGCGGTTTGGAAAAATTGCATCGGTCAAAACTAAAAATTTTTTGATTTTTCTTTTAGTTTTTATAGTTATAGGTATATTGATTTGATATTACCTACGGAATTTAGATGATATTTCTCAAGGAAAAATAGATGCGTATAGGTAGATAGTTAATTAGCTATATGTAAATGTGCCTGTTTTGTTTAATGTTTAATTTGTGAAACACTCATTTTTCTATATACTTAATGAAAGTCATATACCTACATAGATCATCACATCATTAAAAAAAGCGCCTTTTCAAGAAATCCTACGATGCACCCGTTTCACCTATTTATCAGGGCCGCGGTGTTCCGTGTAAAGTTTCGTTTACACGGGTCCTGGTCCTTACAAGAACCCACAATGGATGTACCGTCGTTGCAATTGTTAATTAGTAGCTACATAAGTAGTATAAAAGTAAATTATTCTCGCATATGGAACACGAAATCTGCATGATATACCTAATGAGTCTCTTTTTTACACGAAAATATAGGTACCTAAGTGTAACACATGCATTCTTCTAGGACCATAAAAAGCTATTTGTTGGAATTTCATTAATTGAAATTTGAAAACATGAAATAGTTACTTACGTACAGGGTGTAAATCGAAAAGTGGAACATAGGCGTTTAACATGGGAAATTACTTTTTCTTTGCGCAAACTTTTCCTAATTAGCCATGGACTATGATAAAAGAAAAACATAGTCCATGGCTACTTAGACTAAAAACTCGCGAAAACAGAATCTTTATAATTAATTTTTTTGCGTACGCAAGAAAAGGTAAAATAGAATAATCGTTTCACATGATTTAGATGCAGAATTTATATCTCTATAACTTTTATTTGAAGTATTTTTGCGTAAACTAATTACCTACTTAGTAATAATAATAATAATTTAATAATAATAATTTATTCATGTTAATGTACATAAAGTACTTACATATCGTCATGCCTTAGGTACGGTGGTCTAAGAAGCCTAAATACAGATAACAAGTGTATACGTTACAAACATCACAAAAAAACACTCTAATTGACTTAGGAAACGTTTGTGCAAAGAAAAAGTAATTTCCCATGTTAAACGCCTATGTTCCACTTTTCGATGTACACCCTGTATACCTACATCACGAATGTACCGTGACAAATTGTTAGGTAGGTATGCGGACGAAAAGTAGGTATCTACATGAAATTTAATTTCCATCGTAATTTATTTAAATACAGGTGCCAAATTCTTGACAAACAGATTCCTAGCTGAAACCTCATCAAAATGTTATCTCATAAGAAATAAGAAAGTAGTAACCTGTAGCTTATACATCTAGCGTGTTATGGAAATCCTGACAATAGATTCAGATTCTCCGAAAAAAAGTTTCCGGCCGTTTAAAGTAGGGACAATGAAAACGAAATTTGTCATTTTGAACCACCCCGTAGGTACCTATAGGTACCTACATGTAGACGGAAAATATTTTTATGCATTTGATGAAATTTTGACAGATCCAAAAAACGGCGATCGCAATACCCACCTAGCTATAGGAAGCTAAAAAAACAGAATTAAGAAAATGAACAAAAATGCTACCTCAGTGAGGAGCTGCACCTAGAAAAAGTTTAAAAGATTCTCTAGAGCCAGAGGTTATAATAAACTAAATAAATATAGAAAACGAGCTCCTTGGTATGGCTATAGCTTGTGCAAAACCAAATTTTAAACCTGATGTTAGTTTTGCTTCTATATTTAACACTTATTAATTTAATTTTAATTGCTGCCATAAATAAGAAAGTTAGCACTGCACATCCTACACAAAACTAAATTTGGAAAATAGCGCTACATTTGCTTTTATTCCAAATGACTATGTATCAAATTTCATTTAAATCCCTCCATAAATAAAAAAGTTTGCAATTCGGATTAAAAATGGTCGAGATGCGAAAAGGGCACTGTGAATTTTGAATCGATTAGGCTCAATTTTTGGAATTGCGTTTTAAATGGCTAAAGCTATGCGCATATTGAATTTCATGCAATTCGGTTCATAACTAACGGAGATGTCAAAAGGGCCTTCCTTATTTTTTGGGCTACGTTGCCAATTCTCGAACTCCGATCTACAAATTTGATAAAGAATCTATCTACCAAATTTTATCGTAATCGGTCCATTCGTTATCGGACGGACAGACGGACAGACACCGCAAAATTATAAACTCGCTAGGAGCTCGTTAATAATCCGTTCACAGTGCTTTCCATCAGATCTTACTCTCTCATGCTCTCATACCTATGTACCTATCTACGCTTTAGGGTAATAGAGTTCGAATGGTGTAGAAAGCTTTCTAGTGCTCTCTTCTGGTTTCCAGAGACTAGTTAGACGTTCCCATCTATAGGCTCTTTTTAAATATTAAGCGCGTAAGTAGGTATAACCGCGGTGCTAGAAGATACCTACGACGATCTAGAAGTCGTTGGAGAGGACTAAGAGCTTTGGCAGATTAGGAATTTCTTAAAAAGCTCATAAAACAGTTGAAACAGTGATTTTCATCTCCTGAACCGTTTCGAAAAAATGCTAGTATGTCCTGGAAGTGCATATGGAACAAAACCGGAAAATGCCCTTGGAAGACTTGGTACCTAAGCTTCGGCCATTTCTAGAGGGCTCGGGTAGGTACTTTCCCAGAGCAAACAACAAAAGTACTAACGTGTGCAATATTGCATAGGTACAAATGGTACAATTACACACATTGCCAAAATTTGCACACATTAAGTATAGGAAATTTACAACAAGTAAATTTACTGATTTTCCGTGACCAATCAAATTGTTGAACAACCACAAGCATTTAGTAATTTAGTACCGGGTGACCAAATAAGACTGTTCCTCGGCCATATCTCGAGAACCGTTCGTCATATGACTTACCTAAGGATAAAAAAATTATTGGGTAAATCGGTCATGAAGAATCGCTGAAAAATATTTTCAAGTTCTAAAAATGACCAACAGATGGCGTAACTGCCATCTTAAATGTTAAAATTGCATTTTCTTTAAATTTCGCACAATAAACTAACAAAAATTTTTTCACATTTTTAAAGAGAACCAGTTTATCTATCATTTTCGTAAAAGCAAAAACTATTTGGTATACACAACCCCATTTTGAGTCTCATCACACCATGGATATCTTCGATTCAAATTTGGTATGGTTGAAAAGAGCATTCCTTGGGCAATGAGAATCAACCAAAATGTAGGTAATTTAGTTGAATCCTGCTCCGCCAGGGGCTAGTTTTGACACTATGATCCAAAATCCTAAAAAAATCAAAAAAATCAAATGGAATTATATGACTTTTCCTTTATGAAAAAGTAGCCAAATAACATCCAAAGAGGCAAGTGAAAACCGTTTTTCAAAATCTCGTTCCTTACCTCAAATATGGGGAAAATAAGATTAATTAATTAAAATGCTTAAATTGTATCTTAAATTTACTTTTTACGTATTTCCGATATTTGTCGATGGCGCTAAAGAAAAGCGCCCGACACTTTTAGGTAGGCCTTGGAAAATTAAACAAATGAAACACGATGCATTATCAAATAATAACAACCGTAATTTGTAAATTATTCTGCGGTGTTTACATTTAGAAAGTACAGTTTTTTGAATTTGTAACTTTTCTAAAATGCCGATTTCTAATCAAGAAGCATGTAATATGCTGGCGATATATTTTGAGTATTTTCAAAATGCGACCATCGCTGCCCGCATCTTCTATAATTTGCGTTATCCGAATCGCCCACAAACCATCGCCGCCAGCATATTAAATGCTTCTTGGTTTGAAATCGGCATTTTAGAAAAGAATACAAATTCAAAAAACTGCACTTTCTGTAGTATGTAAACACAGAGAATTTACAAATTACGGCTGTTATGATTTTATAATGAATCGTATTTCATTTGTTTAATTTTCCAAGGCCTACCTAAAAGTGTAGGGTCCTTTTCCAAACAATCTTTCGCGCCATCGACAAA